TGCTCCACGTTGATGGCCTCCTTGGCACTGGTCTCAAAGTAGGGAATGTTGTTTTTGCTATAGCACCAGGCCTGTGCCCTCTTCGTGGCAACCTGGAGAAGGAAGCAGGGCCTCAGTGAGCTGTAACCCAGATGGCTGCAGACTTGGGAACAAGGCTGGGGGACCACAGCTGCACCTTTAGCCACCTACCACATACAGGCCAGTGCAGACCCCTAGCCATGGCTCCCTTACAGCCACTAAGAAGGAAATGCATGGTCCCCTTACTCCTGTCTCATTACCTGAGCAATGCACTCTGGTGCCAGTGTTCTGTAGCTCTTGCCCCTCCCTAACCCTCACCCCAGCCCAGGACTGAGTCTTGGCAGATAGCTAAACAGCAAAGTGTGCTATTACCAGTACAAGGGTCTATCCTCACAGGGACACACATGAGAGGTACACAGGTGATGCTGCTAACGCCTGAGCCACCTTGTGCACATCAGAGACCCCACTACAGGTGATAAATTAAATATCCTGACAAGTGCAAAAGGGGCCTGGCTCAGAGCAAGATGCAGCCCAAAGCCACCAGCAATGGGACCCTTACAGCAGAGCCCTAGATCTTCAGCACTTACTTGTCTATTTTCAAGGTCAATCTTGTTCCCCAGCATGACAAAGGGGAAGTTCTCAGGGTCCCGAGGGCTGGCCTGGATGAGGAACTCATCCCTCCAGCTGTCCAAGGTCTTAAATGTGTTGGGGGCTGTCACATCAAACACCAGCACACAGCAGTCCGCGCCGCGGTAGAAGGCCACACTGAGGGACTGGAACCTTTCCTGGCCAGCCGTGTCCCAGATCTGTAAGAGGACAGCAGCTCCTGGGGACAGGAGCAGGGTGCCCTGGGGATGCACCGGGCTGTGCATGGGCCACCTGCGGACAGGGACTCCGGAGCAATGTCCAGAGCAGCCCTGCACTCAGACTGAGTCTGGCGGGCAATCCAACTCTGGACTACTAGAAAAGTTTTCATATTTTTTCAGTTTTCATAACGAAAACCATGGTGAGGTATGTACTGGCAGAGTTGTAAACATTTTCCAGCCTGGCCTGCATCTTGGCATCGTCTTGGTTCAGCCTTCCAAGTAGCTGGGGTTGTGGGTACCACACAGTGCTATGTAGAGATAGTCTCCTGGCACAGGCACACACCCAGAATCTTAGCCACTGTTAGGGTAAGGCAGGCCTGCAGGATGCAGGTTAGTAAAGGCAACTTAGAGGGATCCTCCCTCACAACTGCAAATCAAAATACATGGGGGTGCAGCTCTTCTATAGAGTGAGCTAACAACATGGGGAGGGCCCTGGGTTTGATATCCAGTACTGCAGAACAAAACGAACTTTAAAGAAAACAACAACCAAACACCCTGACTAGGAGAGACAGAAAGAAAGAACTGCAATGCACACAGCAAAGATGAATACCAAGTTCCTCTGATCTAATGTAGGCTGCTGTTCTTTGGGCACATTCAAGTGCAAGGCTGATACTGAGTATGGAGACTCATACCTGTAACTCCAGCACCCTGCGCAGCTGAAGCAGAAGGGTTGTAGTTCAAGTCCAGCCTGGGCAACTGAATGTCACTCACTATGAAGGCCCCGAGTATTTCTTCTCTGCGATGTTCCTGTGCTATCCACCTGCCTGGAGCTAGCCGGCTGAGCAGAAACCTCTACAACTGTGAGCTGAGTTTTTGTGCTCTCAGTCCACAAAAGCATCACCATGTGGGTCGGAGGACCAGTTTGACTTTCGCAGTTTGGGCATCAAACCAAGAGCCTGCACAATGAATGTGTGACAAACGCAGTTGCTTTTTTTTTTTTTAAAGGCAAGTCCTTGCTAAGTCTAAGTTGCCCAGGCTACACTAGAATTTGCAAATGTCCCATCTCCACCTCCCAAAAAGCCAGGACTGTAGATTGTAGGTGTGTGCCATCAAGCCTGGATCAAAAGCTTTAAAAATTAAACCAGAATCCAGAGACAAGTTACACACACACACAGACACACACACACACACACACACACACACACACACACACCCCATTAGGGAAGTAACAGTGTCCTGCAAACATCTGGGAAACAAGCAAAAACCAAACTCAAAGCCACACAGAACCTCAGCCCCAATGCTCAAGCCTCACGGAGCTCTCCATGCCTTTCATTCTACCTCTGCACATTTCTCTGTGCTGCAGAACACCACACCACTCTCCTAAGGACGGCCTAACTTCAATCCTGCCCAGCAAACTCAGTGAGCTACTCCCTCTCGCCTTTACTAGAGCACTGTAGTCCACTGTCCATGCTTATGAATAGCTCTGCTATTATACTGACACAGGGCTCAGCCTTTCTATAGAAAATGGCTTCTGCCAACAGCCCTGGGAACGAGATCCTGGCACTCTATAGAGTTCCAGCCCTACCCCTTCCACATGGACACAGGTTGAACTCGCAACTCCACTTTACAAGCCTCCCTTGTGGCTGGGATTATAGGCCTGCATGTGTCCCCATATGGTTTCCTCTAGACAGAACCCTGAGACTTGCATTCCTGAGAACTCTCATCCTCCCAGGAGGAACCTGTGATGATTCTGGAATTGGGACACACAGACAAGGCCAAGGAATGGCTAAGAAAGAAGCTGAAACATTGAGTGGCTGTTCCCAGCAATTTCTGAATTTCTAACTTCAAATTCATCAAAGTACAAGCCTTTGTCTGACTGGTCTTTTACATTTAAAAACTTTTTTTTTTTTTTTTTTAAAGACAGGGTCTCACTATATAGTACGGGTGGTCTTGAACTCACTTCTGTGGCTCGCCCATGTGGCCTCAAATTCATTGTGATCCTCTTACTTTAGCCTCCCCAGTGTGGGACTGTGGGCATGTGCTACCATGCCCAGCAAACTTTAAATATTTTAACAGAAAAATTTCATTTTCTACATTCTAAATTATACCATACATTTACCTACCCACTACTCTGATATGACAAAACAGAACTTCAATGGGCACAAAGCCCCATGCAGGCCTGGCCTGAGCACCTGCCCTACTGCCATGATGTGCTCCCCATCCTGATGTGCCAAGCTGTGTGACACCATTGTGATCATCATTTTGTAAAGAGAAAAGAGTCCAGAGTCACTTTTCCCCCACAACATTGTACCCCTTCGCTCCCCAAAAGTTGGTGGCCCTGGAGATGACTGACAAACAGCTCTGCTACAGGTGGGCAGTGTGCAGCCCCAGCACCGTACTGTGACCTCCTGGGCCTCAGTTAAGCACCTCTCCTCACTACTTCAGCTGGCAGCCAAGAGCACCCTTCTGGCCTTTCTCCTCTGCTCACGGAGACTCCTTCCGGCTCAGGTGGGACTTGGAGCCATGAGACTGCCACTCCACTCCTAGACACACTCTTCACCCTACACATCAGCCTTTCGAGAGGCAGCTCCTCCAAAACCAGCCACAGGCCATCAGACATCCCTGACCACCACCTTGGAGGCTGCCCATCTCTATCTGTCAGCACACTCCTGTTCTCTGGTCTGTCTGCATTTTTTGGGAGTCTTGTTTTTCAGATGTGTAATGTCAACCTTTTATGATCTGTTTTCTCTCTTCTTTTTTTTTTTTTAATATTTTTTTTATTTATTAGAGAGAGAGAGAGAGAGAGAGAGAGAGAGAGAGAGAGAGAGAGAGAGAGAGAGAGAGAGAGAGAGAGAGAGAGAGAGAGAGAGAGAGAGAGAGAGGTGTGTGTGTGGCCAGCTCAGCCCACCAGGGGGCGGGCTGGCTGGCATGTGGTGCTGGGGGATTGAACCGTGGTCCCTGTGCTTCGCTGAACTTGTTCTAAGTAGGTGCTTTAGACCACTGAGCCATCTCTCCAGCCTGTTTTCTCTCTTCTAAATGCCAAAGGTCCACTGGCCCAGCATAGCTAGAGCCCTCACCTCATTTCAACCCCCCAGCTCTCTGCCGTCCCCCTCAAGAAAATACCAAAGGTTTAAAAGTCTCTATTTTTAGTCAGGTACAAGCCTGCTATCCTAGTATTATGAGAGGCTGAGGCAGGAAGATCACAAATTTGAGTCCCACTCACGCAACTCAGCAATATTGTGTCTCGAAACAGAACAAAAGGCAGAGATGTAGCTCATGGCAAAGCCCTGGGCTCAATCCTAGTACTAAGAAATGAGGGTCTGAGCTTCAGCCAACAGCAGATCATGATGTACTTACACACACCATTCGGCCTTGTCATTACTTAATCACAGTATCCGGATCAATGTACGATGACAAATGGTCATGTATTATGAGTCACCCACGGGAGACACAAACGCACAGGTGACGTGTCTAAACTTTAAGGGACCTGAATAACTTCAGGGGAAGGTATAGGACCAACCTTGCAGATACCAAGGGCCAACTACAGTAGTTAGGAAGTTACACATCTACTTTCCTCCCTTTTGTTTTTATTTCCCCAGTCCCAGGTATTGACCCCAACGCCTTCACACTGAGTTATATCCCTGGCCCTTTGATTTTTTAGTCAGGATCTGGGATTACAGATCCTGCATGCACCTTGCTTGCTTACTTATTTGCGAAACCTAGGGCTTCATGCATGCTAGGCAAGTGGCTCTGTCAGTGAGACACACCTCAGCTGAGGAAAGTACACTTTTGTTCCTTGAAACAGGGTCCTGTTCTCACTAGTAGCCCAGGATGATCTCAAACCCAGGATTCTCCTGCCTCAGGATCCAGAGTGTGGAAATTATAGGCTGCATGTGTATCCTGCCCTTCGCTGCAAACCATTACATATGGAACACAATTAACAAAAGGCACTATGCTGTGTAGCACTCTAGGGTCCTGGGTGACAGAAACTGGGTCTGGGTTACTTAAATGAAAACCACTCTGAATTACCAGGGAGGATCCTGCTGATCTTCGTCATAGAGCCTATTTCCTTTCTTTTTTTTAACTGTACCTGCTAACAGCCCTTGAAAGCCCAAGGGTATCCCTTGAAATCTAGGATAGCTGGAGAGGATCATGAACTCAAGGCCAACCTGGGAAATCCCAGTGAGACCTTGTTAGGGGAGGGGAGGGGAGGGGAGAG